ATTTTTGAAAAACTCCCAGGAAAAAAAAAAAAAAAAAAAACACACAAAAAAAAAAAAAAAAAAAAAAATATATATATATATATATATATATATATATATATATATATATATATATATATATATATATATATAGAGAGAGAGAGAGAGAGAGAGAGAGAGAGAAATATGTTCTGTCATTTCCTAGAAGATGGAAATAAAAAAACATCTTATATGTATTTGATTTAGTAGCACATGTGGAACAAATCTGGTTTTTGCTTTTGTTTGTTTGCATGAAAAGATCAGAATTGAGCTTTTCAGACTGCCATGGAAAAGTGGGGAATATGCGCCGTATATATGGGGAAAAAAATTAAAAACGGATTTGGGTGACATTTGCCTGTTGTGTGAAGTGAATGTAACATAATACTAACGTATCTTAAAATTCAAGAAACTTCTTCCAGTTTTAACTAAATAGTGACCCCTAGAGGCCAGGTGTTGAACTAAAATATTCATTAAATCCATAATGTAAACGTATCTTGCTTAAAATAAAAATAAAAATAAAAAAATAAAAAAAACAATGTTGATCATTGTGCAAAACGAAAAACGGAAAAAGTAGCCCTCACCGCTAATGAACAATTGTTATTTTTTTTTTTAGACAAAAAAGTGAGGGGAAAAAAAACTGGCTAAAATGGTTTGAAAAAACTGGCAAGCCCTACCATCTATCCTTTTTCGTTCCACTACTAAGATAGTGAGAAGTTTGTGGCTATAATAAGACAAAATGTGGAAAGGATCAAGGAGGAGGAAGGCATTTGCAAAGCACCATGTGCTGAACACTTTGAAGTCCTCTTCTTGTTCCCCTTCTACATTTTCTTTTTTTTCCCATGGCTCGCTTTGACAGCTTTGGGACACAGAGGACTGCTTCCGCCGACGGTACGACAAAAAAAACAAACAAAAAAAAGGGGGCAGGGTCAGAGGGCGGGGCAGGCGAGGCGTTTGATGTTTGATGACTGAATACGGCCCTCGATTTCACCCTCTCTCGGCTCCCAACAACAGACAGTGGGAATGAGGGGAGCAGAGGACCGGAGGCACAGAGCAGAAATAGAAATGAGCCTATTGGGGGAGCGAACCCCCGCCAGCTGGAAGAAAAGCCCTTTCTCTCCACGTTTCTTGGGCTCTTTCTTTCGGCCGTGCTCACACTGGGAACCATCTTGGCTGGACGTCGTCTTTTCATCCTGCAGGTTGATGATTGCTTGCCTAGCGCCACAAAGGCTTCTCTCTCGCTCCAATTTCACAAATCGCTAACTTGATATAGAACAGCTCGGTTATAGGCAAAGAAACTCGTACAACTTTCACACATAACTAGTCAGATGCACCTGAACGTTATGGCTGACTGACCTCCTCGGCATGCGTTCGACGTCTACAGCGTCCTTTCGACAATCTGATTATTCAACATCTCTTTGTTAAAAACAGATTCGCACCCAGAAGTTGCAGAACATCATCCCCCGAGGATTAGAGCTCCACAGGGAAGTCGCTAGCACTGCAGCCAAACATCAGTCAGCGGCCTTGTCCTGAGATTATCCTGTTCCGCCATTATTAGACCAAGGAGCTAATTACCAGAGGATACTCTGAAAGGAAGCTCTGGAGCATCATGATCCAAATTATGGAGGATTACACTCCTGAAGTCCTGAACAAACCAGGAACCACTATCATCACTTGGATATCTCGTTTGTTTCCAGGTTTTGTTGATAGAATAAGGGTGTTTTCACACCTGATTGTTTGGTAGACTCAGTTTGATTGGGGACCAAAGTTGTTACATTTTCAGCTGGTTCTGCTTTCACACCGAATTGAGTCAAACGATCCAACCATCTACCCTCCTCCGTCTGTGGTGGCACTGCACCAGAACTACTGAACAAAACAAAACAAAAACCTCCAAAGAAGACATGAGCCAAATTCCTTCTTCACAAATTGTAAACAAAAATAAGACTAGCGCCAAATTTTGGCGGTTGTAAGAGTTCTGTTTTGTCTTTGGTAAAAGCCATTTCTCCCGCTAGCATTTGTTTTGGTTGCATTTACCCAGAATGCCTTGCACTCTACACTTGTGTACTTCCTGCTTTTTTTTCTAGTGGTCTCTGGTCTGCTTCCGTCCAGATATACATTCATATGTGTTCAACCGAACCGAGAGCTAGGTCTTTAGGCAAACCAGAGTCTGATTGTGATTCACACCTCCCCAAACAAACCAGACATTGTTGGCAAACAAACTAGAGTTCAGTTAAAGAGGACCAATCAGGGGTGGTGTGAATGCACCCTAACGTACGAGGGTTTTCCGGTTCTAAAAAGCGTAGTTGTAGTTGGAAGTGTAGAGTAAGTAAGGACTTGGATAGACACTTTTGATTTGAACAGAGACATTTTTTCTGTTCTCCTGTTTTCAAAGAAGAGCAGAGAAAGTCTCAGGACAAGGGAGTGAAATGGAGGGGGTGGGAATGAATGTGGGGAAGATACTCACAGCTTGTTGAGCTTGTCCAATCCAGCGAAAGCCCCATTGGTGTCCTCTATTGTGCCAGAGATGTCGTTATGGTCCAACTCCCTGCAGAGAGAAGGAGAGAAGAGAGGGAGGGGTAAGAAGGACCAAAAGGAATTGGACAGGGATGGGGGTCTGTCTACAGGGAAGAGTTTCCCAGCCCTGAAAGTTATGGGTTGCCCGCTCACCCACGCTCCTACCCTCCTCCTCCCCCCAATCTGCACCTGGCCTGAAGAGCCCCTCTGCTGCTCTGCTCTGCCAACTGAGCAAATTCTTTCCTTCAAGAGGGATGGAGAAGTGCATGTAAGGACGCAAGCCCCCGATGCAAGGGAGTGTATGTTTAATTCATGATGGCATGGAGGGGACTGGCGAGAGCACAATGCCTCGTCGGAGGCGGGCAATTGGGAGTAATGGTGGCAGGTAGGATACATCCAAGACTCTTAATGGCGGTAGGGGGCCACGCTTGGCCATGGTCAGGCAGATAGACAATGGAGTCAATAGAGAAGAGGGACTTCTATTACAGCACATTGGGAGCTTGTGAATGCATCTGTGAGGTGCAACAAACTCTCAGATGAAGTCATCGCTGAGGAGAAACCACGACTTGCCCCTTCCACATGAAGATCAAACACATCAAACTCGGAGAACTCCTCTGAATCGACAAAGGCCTTCCTCCGATCTTGAGAAACCCCTTTGAGGCTGATGGTCAGCTGCACCTCCTTCTCCCTTTACTATCCAAGCATCTTTTATTCCTCCTTCTTCCCCCCTCCGTTTCTTTTCAGCCTCCACTGGCTGCTGCCTTTGGTATGGGGCTCGACTAGGCCTGCCAATTTCCAACACTTTCTGGCTGGCTGGATCTGAATCGCCATTGCCTTGTTAAAGCAAAGCCAGGAGTGGGTGGGTGAGTGAGTGAGCCGCCGTGGGGCTGAGGGACCGGCGGAAAAAGGGGGTGGGCCCCAATGAGCGAGCGACCCCCGTGGCCGAATTAGAGGGCTGGCTGGCTTGTTTAGAGCTTTCACACCCCGATGTGGGCTCCAGCCCCATGCCAGCACAACCAGCGGCACATACCCAATTAAAGCTCCCCCAGCTCTTTTTCAGAGCCCTGCCTATGCCTGTCCTCCCCTGCACTGATTAGATTAGGCCTGCCTCAAGAGACGAAGAGGGCAGAGGTTTGGACAAGGACAGGAGAGTCTTCAAAAACATCCTGCAAAACTAAAAATGGAACAGAAAAGTATTCATTCCTTTGGTATTTTCTCCCACTTTCTCATGTTACAAGTGCAAACCTGTATTTCATTGGGAGGTTTTTGCATAACACCTCTTTTTGCTGCATCAGCTCGTTTGGGGTATGTTTCCACTAGCTTTGCATGGCTAAGTACTGATATTTTTGCCCACTCATCTTTGCAAAATAGCTGTAAACATCAATTCACTTGTCTGCATAGAATGGATTTAGGGGTATTGCATTAACAAAAGTTGTAGATTTTACACATGTAACCGTTTTTCTTACACTTCTGAATAGTAGGTCTATAAAAGGGGTCTGACACCTAAGTGGCTTTTTAAACTCTAACTTTGGTAAATTAGTAAATTACTAAGTATTGAGTAACTTTTAGAACTGTATAGGCAATAAATATATGCCTTTGCAGTTTATCTTACATATTGAATGTTTATGCGAAATATTTTTTCCCCTTAGGTTGCAAAGTACAAGGAGGTTTTTTTTGTTTGTTTTTTTTTTTTTTAGTATCTATTTGAAATTTGAAGGTTCTCTGAAAAAAATGCAATCATTTACTTTTATAGAAACATTTGACGATTTGTAAAAACTGGTTATTTTGCTTTGAACAGTCAAATATGCAAATCAAATGCAAAAATGGCTCAGTGTTGTAAAGACTGCTGACCTCTGCCTGTTCTATGACGCAACACCCTCATAAAATATATTAAGATTTGTGGCTGCAATGTGGAAAAGTATATGGGTAGGAATGCTTTGGCAAAGCACAGTAAGTGTTTTTCATGAGATAACACACAGGGATAATAGCACAAACAGAAAATTACACAAAAAAAAACCAACAACAACAGACAAATAAAAGGAAAATATGGGTGATTAAGCACCAGAAATAAAAACATGGGAAAAGAGCCTAGAGCTCATCAAAACTGCTCGTCTCTTCCCTGTGTGACCAGTAAACAAGCCCCCAGTGTGTCACAGAGAGAGAGATAGAGAGACCAGTGTTTGGCAGATCAGCCTGCTGTGAGAGAGCTCATCTATGGAGATCTGGCTCTGCTTTTTGTGTTGTATGTGTGTTTTCTTTTCTTTTTCTTTTTCTTTTTTTCCTAGCTTGGAAAGCAGCAGAGCCAAGTAAACTGTAGTTAAGAACCAAGACCCAAAAGGCTTTGAAGGATTTATCCATCGACTTTTTCTCTCTTTGCTTCTCCCCCTTTATTTTATTTTGGCACCTTGTGTAAAAGGTGGAAGAAAAAGTCTTTATCCTCAAGTTCTAGACGCATGGAGGCATATCAACAAAGCAGCGCTTCAAGTCCAGGCTTGTCCAGACACCAAACCGGAGAAAACGAGGAAAAGAAAGGCAGGAAAAAGCAACAAATAGCAACAGAGAATAAAAGAAAACGGCATGAATATACATGAATGCTAATCGGTCCCTCCAGGATGTCGCAGTGTTGTTTTGTGAGTATTGTGGTCGATATTTGTGGCACCTTTTTCAAAAAATTGCAGTTTGTTTTTTTTTTACTTTATTTTTGTCGTAACATCGTCTTCCAAAAAAGTTGAAATTGCTGCACATAACCTTCCTGAAAAAGGCAGGATTTTTCTCAATGTTAAAAGCGCAAAAAACGTTTAGAATACAAATAAAATCAAGTCCTGAGGAGGATTCAAAGTGCAAAAGAAGAACTTCATATTGGTCATCCAAGGTAACATGAAGTGATTAGACGGTTTAAGCAACAAAACAAAAGAAAAACAAAAAGCAAATGTTACAGTTTAGCATCACACCTGCCTCAACGTGCAGGTTCGTCTCTCAAAAGCCGCCATGAGAGAGGAAGTTAAATTGAAAGAGGGCTAAGGGGTATTAGTCAAAATTCAGCCGAGTTGCAGTGATTGGTCAGATTTGCAGTAAGGTTGTGCAGACTGTTGGACAATGCAAGTCTGCACAAAATTAACAAATCATGAGTGAATTTACATTAATATTTGTGATCACAACTTCCTGGAGCGACTGACTAATAGGACGGTTTGTAAAGGGAATACTTGGGCATAAATATCAAATATCACACAGGCAACACCGATATTTAACAGCTCAGCTTTCACTGCTCCCAAGTGGAACGTCTAACCTTATCTCTTCATCAGGGGCGAGAGAGAGAGAGAGAGAAGGAGGGGGGTTATTTTGGGTTTGGTAATATCGGCTCGGGGTGGTGCACTTACAGGACTCGTAGAGCCTTGAGGCCCCTGAAGGCTCCCTCATTGATGTGGCTGATGGAGTTGCGGCCCAGCCGCAGTGTGTGTAGATCCCCCAGCACGGCCAGACTCCCCTCGTCCAGACGGGTCAAGTTGTTGTACGACAGATTCCTGGACATAAGAAGACGCAGACAGAAAAAGATGGGACAGCAGACACAGACAGACAGGGGGAAGGAAAAAAAAAAAAAAAGAAGTTTGCTGTGAGGTCTGGAAGGAGATGACAGGTTTACAGAACACAAAGACAGCTTGCAACATCATTAGACTTAAATTTCACGGCTGATTTGAAAGCGCTTTCCAAGCCTGTGATGTCTGTTTTTCCGTGGTGTAACAAGCTGCTAGCAGAATGGATTCAGCAGACATGGAAGCAAAGCTGAGATCCAAATCATTAAGCAGGGAGGAAACTGTCCTGGTTGGGACGTTACGCGTCTATAATCTACATTTACACACCAACAAGAGAATGTGGTAAACCCCAGAAAATAAAACCCAATCCTAAAAACGATACAGTTAATGTGCTATTTGTTTACTCTGAAGCCTGCAGAAAACACACACACACACACACACACACACACACACACACTCCCATGAGATAAGAACGCTGAATGAATCAAAGTTGTTTCTGTTGTTTTTGGAAAAACTGGATCCGATTTCTGTGTATTTCAGAAACAGACGCACCATTAAGCCATTTCCTGGCTGACACAGTTTTCATATGAGAACATGAACTAAAAAAAAACTCAGTTGGAGATTATTTATTAGGATATTTAAACAGATTCTTCTTCAGTCCTTTTAATGTAAATAGTCTTAACCGTACCTGACTCGCATTTGTTTTTATGATATTCTGGATACATATGTACAGAAAAAAAACAAACAAAAGTACCAGTTAGGACTTTTGTAAAAAAAAAAAAAAAAAAAAAAAAAGTTTGCAGACTTTTTAAAAAAGGCAACTTTCCACA